CCATAGCACCTGTGCTGAGCAACTCCTGTCCCAGTTCCAGCGATGCCAGTTCTGCCCCAAATCCAAGTTCTTCATTTCTGAACTTTGCACTGCAACACGTAGGACTGACACCTGCTGGTGTGCAAGTCCCTGCAAATCCTGTTCTTCAGCACCTGCCAGTCACTCCACAAACAGACAATGTTAGCCATAGCTCAGGAAACACGAACTTGCAAGAACAGAAGGTAAGTTAAAATATATTGCAACTTCTTGACCGTGATGGGTTGAGTGGGAAGGATCGTAGAATGGTTTCTGTTGGAAGGGATCAGCTGGTTCCACCCAGTCTGTATGGGTAGGGACACCTCCCATGAGCCCAAGTTCCTCCAAGCCCCATCCAACCTGGGGCTATAATATAGTGCAGTACAGTATAGTGCAGTAATTCCTTTACAGCAGGCAAAATTTCCAAATAAACATTTGTAAAAAATCTTTCTAAATCAGCACTGCCCATAAAGAGCTGGCAGTGAAGGCCAGTGAAAGTACAATGTAATTGAGAGGTTAGAAAGGAAGAACAAGTATCATACTTGTGGAAGTGTAGCCAGCTGGAAGCTGACAAGGTGTGAAGAGACAACTGTTTCAGAGGGAGGATCTTGCATAGATCTGACAAGACACTTATTAACAAATCATCCATTTGTTACTTCATCTTTACTTTGTGTTACTCACCTCATCTACTCTCAAGTTCTTGCATTCAGTGTTAGGTTTTGTTAAGAGGATGGGATTGTAGAGGATTTTAAAATTACTTTTTCCCAAGAAGTTTCTCTGTATATTTTGTGTGATAGTGTACTGCACAAGGTCTGTTTGTATGAAAAAAGGAGATAATGGGATTAAAGAAACCAGCTTTTTATGCAATTGATTATATATATGTATATATTTCTAGCTATATCAAGGAAAACAGGTATATTCTTCTCAGTAAAGTGTTGGTAAGTTCTTAAATTTCAGGAAAAAAACCCTGATTTGGTAACATCCTGTAGAGACCTAAAACTACAATTCTTTTTAAATTTCCCTTAACTGAAAGTAACTTTAATTCTTCTCTTCAGCCTCCTGCTCCACAGGAATCCCAGGCAGCTACAGAAAACTTTTTCCGCACCCCAGGAGGGCCAAACACAGCATCTCCACTCCCTGCAAGTTCAGATGGTCCCAACAGGGTCTCTCAAGGAACTCTTTATATTCCTCAACGAAAACTTGAAGTGTCTGAAGACTAATTCTAGGATATCAAATTGCTGAATGTGTTACCAGGCATCAGGGCTGGTAACACACTGCACACATCTTGGATGGTATGATGGAAAACGTGTGGTTTGGACACTGGCAAGACTTCAATACTGGAATAGCCTTAATTAATGTTTTAGAATTAAAACTGGCTCTTCATGAGAAAGTTCCCACCTAATAATTTTTTTTTTTTTTTTTCCAAAAGGCTTACCTGAAGTATTATAGCCACAAAGTTATGTATCTAGTGGGGGGTTTTTGTGTTGCTTTTCTGCTATGCAAAGGAAGCTGAAATTGTCTGTGGACAGAAAGGTACAGTCTATCAGTCAGTACAGATTTTGCACAAAGTACTGTGAGTGTGTACATATTTTATGTCTTTAACAAAAAGGCCACAGTTAAAATGTCTTGCTCTTATGTTTAATAATGCTCTTTTGTAAAGTTAGTTAAAAAAACTAAAAAAACAACAAAAATGAATTCTTAATCAATTTTTATATAAGTTAAGAATTATTTATACTGTATTTTTAAATCAATTTGTTCAGATTAAACTTATATCAAACTCAAATTTTGACTTTTTTTGTTTGATTAGATTAAATTACCTGAGTTAAATAATACAGTGTACATTCACTGACAGCTCTTCTTGGTCAGATGAGGGTGTGTTTGTCCTCTGAAGAAAGAGGAAATGGTATTTCATCAGAAAGGGATTTCAGTAGCTCCATCTGAGTTTGGACTCTGTCAGTAGAGGTTATATCTCCAAATAACAACAATTAGAGGAAAATACAGTTATGAAGTTTGGAATTCAACAGGTTAAGCTGAACCAATTGAATTTAAATATGCAGAAGAGAGTGTTCTGTGCTGAAGGAAAAAAGACTAAGCCTCCTCCCACGCTCTTAGATGACAAGGAATAACTAACAAATCAAAGGAAAATACAATATATCTTCCTTTCCAGGTGAAACTGTTTGGCTGTTCAAACTAGGACAGGAGAAACAGTAGCAAAGACTAAAATTCAGGCTTGGATGGGACAGAAAAACATAGTTAAAACGGTTGATACAATTAAACTAATGCCAAATTATTTTATAATGCAAAATACACCTGACAGAATAAGATCACTATAGGATCCTACATAGGAGGGAAAGAAAAATAAAAGCTGGAAAAAGGGAGGAGTCTCACAGCAGCAGTGAGGTCTTTTTTTCTTCTCCAAAGTGGTAATTTATTGATCTTCCTTAAACCTGCCGTCAATTTCATTCCAGAAGTATAAAACCCAAGGTTTATAGAAACTTATAGAAAAGAAACCACAAACCTTTCATGTTTTTGGACACTGCTGTTGACAGAATAAGAAACTGCAGGCATGAGGCTTGGAGAAATGGGTCTTCTCACAGACTGCTCCCTCCTGAAAAGCTGAACGTACATTCTGCCTTGCTGTCCCTTGGCTCCTGTCAAAACAGCCTGCTTGTTCAGGCAGGCTTCACAACACCTTGCACTTCACATTCTTCTTGTTCATTTTTCAGGCTAAGAAGCTACTGCTTCTGTGCTCGAAGTGCCCTGTTCCCCAGAAGACCCACATTTCACCCTGACTGAGCTCACTGCTCCTTCCACCTGCCTCATCCACCCTCCAACACGACCTGAGCACGTGCTGTGCCCTGGCTGCCAAGCTCTGGAAATGTCCCTCTGATCCTCAGGCTCCCTTTGTTTTTAGATACTCTGCATTCCCATTCTCCGAGCAGCATTTTTTAATCCCTGCCTTTGATTTCTAGAAAGCCCAACATTCTCACTCCACCAGGAATATAAAGGTTCACACGTGTACGTTCCAGTTGCCTATTTCAAGTCTGTTCTTCCAGACCCTGGTCCTGATAACCAGTGGGCCAGGGATTAGTTGAAATGCTACCTGAAGGGTTTGACAGCTCCTCTGAGCTGTAAAGACCCTCTCAAGAAGCCTTGCATCCTTACAGGGACACACAGAGTCCAGGGTAGCCCAGAACTATAGAAATAAAGCAGCCCCCAATAGCAGGAAACTAAAGGTTGTTATTTCCTGCCTTTCCCCCTTAAATTCTCAGACAAATTCAAAGGGAAAATACTTACTGACATTTTAGGGCAAAATACTTCTCTACAGAATTGGTTATGGTGCAAATCCACCCCAAGTGCATGATCTACATGACATGAGTGATGATAAAACTAATGCTAAATTATAATACAAAATACACCTGACAGAATAAGATCATTATAGGATCCTACATAAAAGGGAGAGAAGAATAAAAGCTGGAAAATGGGAGGATTCTCACAGCAGCAGTGAGGTCTTTTTCCAACTTCACAGGAAGAACTTGTCTCTGTATTATAAAACCTTTGCTGGGCTATAGGCTCCCAAGAGATTTCAAAGTAGCCTCAGCAAACAGACCCCTAAAATCCTACAGTCTGATGTAGATTTAGCATCTAATTTCCTTACATTCCCATGAAAGTCTCAGAGTTGAGACTCTCAGCTTCAGACTCCTGGAGTTCAACCACCAGGCTGTAAGGGCTTGGCCCTTTCACACACAGCAAAGTCCACGATAAGTTCTCTAAATTCATACACCCCTTCAGAAAATGAGAAGTAGCTTCTACATCTTTAAAGTAATTAATACCCTGTAAAAAGTGAACTTTAAAGTGCCTCCTACTTCAGTCTGGGCGTCTTCAACACATCTCCAGCATCATCCATTTCCAGTGGGCTCAGTGAGGCAGGGCAAATACAACTGCAATGATTAGACATGCTACATATTATACATATTAACTAGTCATTTTAACACCTAAACCCAATCAAAAGTGAAAGATTAGAGTGAAAAGCATAATTCTCTGTACCCTAAAAGACAAACCAGTTGTATCTATCGAAACATGAACTGCCAAATGAAATTCTATTTGGTGTTAAATTCTCCAGTTACAGAGGTTCCTACAAACAGGTTTAAATCTGATTATTTTTATCCTAAATAATTACTAAATAATCATTTTGGTAAATTACTTCTGGCACTGTGACCATTTATGACTAAATCCTCATTTCAGGAGCTGTTATTTTATGGTTCACATTTAAACCATGTGGTAGCAGCTTCAAAACTTTAATCTTTATTTCTGATCTATTTGACCACAGTCAGAAATGCTCTCCAGGGGTAATCTGAGGGGCTGCATTGTTGTCCACCTACTCACAAGTGGACAGAAGGGAACCACATGCCAGGCTTTTGTCAGAGGTTATTTTCAGCTTGGTGATAGCAATGGCATTGCTCAGATCCCTGAAACTCTCTCTCCTTCCCCTCCCCTCCCAGCTTATAAGGCTGAGAGCAGTGGCCACTGCATTTAAAGAGTGCAGGGATCCCTTGTGTGCAAACCATTTCAGGCCCAAGAAAATAAGGAGGAACATCAAGCAACTCCGGTAAGTGGAGCATATTGAGTTCTCCCAAAAGTTTCTGATATAAGGGTTTGGGCATTTTATATTTTTCCTAATAGATCATAGAAACAGCTTATTGCTTGGCAAAGAAAAAGGTGTAGGTATAGTATGGAACTGTACTAAAGAGCTGAGAGCAGAATTTTAGGTTTGGAGCAGCCACTGATGGAAGAGATTCTTGTGAGCTTCTCAGCCTGGTTAGTAGCAACTAGTGTTCCAAGAACAGGGCTGTGGGGATCCTTGTTAATAAGACACATGTTTTGGCCGCATCTAAGACTGGATAATAGAAGTGTCAGAAGGTGTTTGGTTTTTTTTTTTAAAAAGTTATTAAGGAGCTACAGAATTACTGTTCCACAAACATTTTGTCTTTGTACATCCAATTTTTAAAGGATAGAAACTTGCCTGCATTCATAATTTCCCAGATAAAGGTATTCTAGAAGAAAAAAGAAAACTTACCAACCAAAAATCTTGAAAATATTTAAAGGCAGTGACAATTTTTTTTTTTTTTATATCAAGTGACAATAAAACCTCTACGTAGACTCACCAGAAAATGACTAGATAAGAACACAAGCTGAAAGAATTCACTTTTTCACCACTCAAGCATTACAAGACTCATGATTGGTCAAGTCTTCAGAAAAGCCCCAATAGTTTAAAAAAAGGAAAAAAAAATACTTTGAAAAGTTTTCTACCTAAAGGTATAATTATTTCAAATAATAAACCCTTGGATATAGATAAAACAATTCTGTGCCTGATCTCAATCATCGCAGCAACTCTTCACAGTCCGTAAGAGTTTTGCTGAGCACTTAAGAGACTTAGTGCATGGATAAGGATTTAGAGAAGGATTTTGTGGAAGGAAAAGTGAAAGTTGATAGCCCAGGATTAGGTCTGGATCATTTGAACTGCAGGATGCAGTTTCACACAGCCACACAAAAAGATCTCTGTGCATGTATGTGTGGGGCTGTGGTTGCTTTCTAAGTCAGAGTTAAGGACCTTGTTCCTGTGTCAGGGTATCTTCATTTTTTCAGGTGCAATCTTCAATTTCTGCCACTGTGTGCATCAAGGAAGTTTTAAAAGAAATGTGGCATTACTAGGCTAGAAAATAATAGATAATTGGAAGGACACAGAGATGAAAGTGAAGGACTCAGACAAAGGAGTCTGGGTTTTCCCATCAGTTTTGCACATCATGTGCTTCATATCAAGTCACCTTAAATATTTTGTTTCTAAAGGGCTTGTGTAAACTAGAGTGACCAGGGTCAATGAAAAATTGTATTAACTTCCCTGTGTCAGTCTGGAAATTCCCAACCCTTGATCTCCCTGTGTTGGGAGAAATATGAAGGAAATATGAAGGAAAAAAGCTAGTTATCAGGAGAATGTGATGGAGGCAAAGTGTGTGACACTACCTAATGAACTTAAAATGTACCTGTGTCCATCGTCCACTGAATGCATTGGAACATGAGAAATATGATTATAAATATATCAAAACATTGGATCTTCCATTAAATGTGCTCACTCTTTGATTTTCTCTGTTGTGCATTTGTCCTACTGAGAGGAAAGGCTTCCTGCAAGGGGCTGGATTTTGACAAAAAACACCTTCAGGCTCTTGTATTGAGATGCAGTGGCAGGAATGGTGCTTTACACTGCAGACACTTCAAGACAAAAGGAAACACAGTGAGTGTTAGTTGCAGAAAAAACCTCTGGCAGCATTTTATGGCTGCTTTCACAAAGGGAGTTGTATGTCTTTGTCCCCACGGTGCTGGTGAGGTGTGTAACATTAAGGACGGTCAAATGAGTCACTGGTGGTCACAGGACAGGTCAGAGCAGAGCTGTGATTAGATATCACAATGAGGTCCAGGCTGCACTGGTGTTTCCCACAGGCTTCAGCTGGGAAAAGAACTTCCAATGTCGCCTTGATACTTGCATTTCAGAGATTTAATTGGGTATTATTACTGTTGCTTTGCTAGGTAAGGAATCAGGATTCTTATACTCCTAACAGAGTTTAGACTGAACAGCTAGCTAGGATTAAAAGAGAGAGAGATGCAAGGCACAGCCTGTCTGTCCATCACTCCTCATTCAGTATTTCCACCACAGATCACAAAGAAGGACATTTTCCATTCCATTTATCTCCTTCAAAGCCATCCTGTAGCACATGTGGCACCCTGAGATAATCCTCCCAGCCACACAGTATGTGACTTCTGCAGCCCATTCAGACAGGACCTGAGCTCCAGGCTGCTAAGTGTGCAAGCACTTGGGAGGGAAAACCTCATGCTCAGCAAGGAAACACCAGGTGACTTTCAACATCTCTGTTACCTCCACTGCCCTGCCTGGCACCAGCACTGCCTTTCATTCCTCTGCACAACTTCATGGGGCCTGCATCATCTTCCCATTTCAATCAATGGATCTAAAGATATCTTCGGATTATACTCTTATCAATAGCCCTGTGGTTAGGGAGACACTCTGTGACAGTTACATGACACCCAGATTTGTACAGTGTGACAAACAGCCCAACACAAGCCAGCTCACATATTTTCATGCCTGTGTAGAGCACAGAAACACTTCAAAGGCTTCCCTGCTCTGAGGCCAGCCTGGATAGGAGTGTTAAAAGCTCTAAGTAATGAGAAGTATCCTTGGCTGCAAGTCTCATGTGTATGAATTCTACTCCATACAGCAGCTGCATTTTGAGAAGGATCAATATGAGTTGCTTGATGCTGTTAGAGCAAGGCCAAGAACACTCCTCTGCCTCAACTCCTAACTCCTCCAGGAGTGCCTGCCAACATGCCACAATATTAATACTCAAAAGTTCCTCTGTCTCATGTTTAGTACATGTAGAGTGGGCCCACTCTGCTTCCCACTAGGTCACCAAAATGTAACAAGTACCACGTGGTGACCAGTCACTGCAAGTTAACCAGATTTAGGCAACAAAGTTTGGGGAATTTCACCCACATTTATATACTGACACCCAAGGAACTTAAGTGAAATTAAGGCTTTGGGTGTACTTCTCTCTACAACAAATATGAGAGCGAGTTCTGTTTGTGCATTGTAAGGATGGAGATTCATCCACTGTTATGATTTAGATGAGTAGAAAACTGTGAATGCCACATACCCTTGGAATTTCCTTGCTCGTGGTAATGCTGCTGCACAGGCAGCATCCATAGGGATGGATGGGCACTGCAGTTCAGTGTTTGGAGAGAAGAAAAAGAAAGCAAGGACATGAAGAGCACATGTCCTGGTACCTCACCCAGCTGCTAGGTCAGCCAGCAGAGACACCTCTGCATATGCTGCCGTTCTTATACCCATGTCCTCATGGGAACGTTTTTACTGTGACTCCTTTCTCCTACAGCTTCCCATCAGGTGATGCCAAAAAAACATGGAAAATGTGTTTGCATGCCCAGTCACGTTACTATAATTAGCCTCAGGAGCAATGATTCTTTGAAGAGCTCTAACCACGGCCCCTAACAGCACAACCTTCACTATCGCGCATTATCAGACTTTTTCAGAGATTATTTTTTGCCTTCAGCTAATGATGTAATTAGAGCTGGTTTCCAACAAGCACCCGATTGCCACAGACTGAGATGCTTTTCAGACGTGTGCCTTTCAGAGGAACTAGCACAGCAGAAGCAGTTTTGCAGAGGCTGGAGGTACAAAACCCTCTCCTCCCGTGCTGCTCCAGCTGGTATAGGATTCAACTGGGAACTTGGTTTGAAAGGGAACACTTAGAGCACAAAAATCTCATTTTCACTTCCCAGAAAGTGTCACAAAACTGACTTTTATCTCCCATTGCTCTTAAAATGTTTGAAGCATTACTTGAACTATTTTTATATATTAAAAAAAATGGCACTGATACAAAAGTACTTAAAAAAGATGAGAAACCACAGAATGGCAGAATGAGACAATAAGATTTTACCTGTGCTAAAGATTTCTCTCTGTTCCATTATGTCTCATCTAAAAGAAACAGAAAAAAGGTTTTAGCAGTGCTATTCAGTAAAATCTTCACTGACTAAGGGACCAAATTAATCCTCTGTTCCTTGCACACAGTTACTTTTGTGTCTTATTTCAGCTACATGAGATTTTTGCTCTTCCTCATTGCATTAGAGATAAACAGAGTTAGACACAAGCTGAGAATCCTCTTCCTTCTTGCATGATTTCTGTTTTCTAACTGTCAGAGCAGCTCTGCTCTTGAAGAGGCTCCCAAGAGAGCAGACAGGGTGTGAAAGAGATGAATGGGGCAGAGAAAGAGAGGTTGGATCTCACCTGAGAATGACAGCCATGCTGTCTACCACAGGTTAGCAGTCACAACAGCCAAGTATGCACTTCCACAGGGTTAAAGATGCACTAATAACCACAGTCCTAAAGCAGAAATGTTTGGATGGGCATTGTTATCAAACACTGCCTGTTAAAACGTGCTGACACTGCTATGTCTCCAGTGCTAGAGGTTCAGCACGTGCACACACTCCTATGCCAGCTGCCTTTTGCTGGACAGACAATTTTCTTTTGTACCATCCTGTGGTGTTTAGTGTTAGTTGCCAGGAAGAATTCTTTTCACCTTCAGGTTCAGCTTGCTGGCATGTAGCAATTGATCATTTAATTCTCAAATTCAGAAGATACAGTCCAGAAGACACTGAGATGATGATAAACATGGGACATTAGTGTCCAACACCTAAAATACAAGCTATTTACACGATCAACTATGTTACATCACTGCTGTGATAAATTCCCCTCTCTCTCTTGCTTGACTTCAGAGGAAAATTCTCAGGTAGCAGACCTGATTCAGCATTCAAAATATCTTTCTTAATTGGGAATATCTCATGGTGAATTTAATCAAATACAAATAGCACAAGCAGGCTTTGCAAGAACTATAATAAGAAGGTGACTGGTTTTCCAAGAAGGACAAGGAAGCCCTGAGCCAGGAGCTTGGAACAAGCTGATAATACGATGTGCAGATGACAAGATGACGTCCCAGTCTTTCCAGAAACCATGACTCAAACAAGAAAACAGAAGGGCAAAGGGTGGGCTGGGGTTGTTTCAGATGTGTGATAGTGCAGTCATCAGGAAAGCCACTTACTGAGCCTGTGGTCAGGCGACCCACTGGGCTCCTGCCTCCAACACTGCCCTCCTGTGTGACCTTGGGCAAGTCACTTCAGCAGTAGCTGGAACAATAAAGCACTATTCTCCTTTTTTTTCCTCTTTCTCCCCCCCTCAGATGTTTAAATTTTTTAAGCAACTGACAAGAGAAAAGCCCACCTTAGGCACCTTAGGAATCTGTTATTCTTCTACAACAGCTGTGCAGCACAGTGATTGTGTTCTATAAGGAATTCAGAAAAGCAACAAACACAACTTGTTTCCACTAAAGCATCCTCTGAAATAACATTGCACAGTTGTTTAACTTCAAGGTGGAACTATCCAGGTGTGAATTGTATAAAATTATATCATACTGACAGAAAATTGCCTTTATACGTGTCACCAGTGAAGCTCAGGTGGCACTGGATGAACTGGTCCTTGCTCTGGAGAGGTATAAATAGTACTATACCCTGTCTCTCAACAGGGTTTATGTAGAATATTGCTCTGTAGAAAATTTAATGCCAGATACTGCCCATATGTTTGCTCAAACTTCAGCAGAGTTCCAAAGTGTTTCCCAGCTTCCATTAAAATTTGCCTTGCCAAGTCAGATCAACAAAGTAAAAAGTGAGAGGAAAAGACCATGCTAGGATACAGGGGAGGGCAGGATTGAAAGAAAATTACTATTTTCTGGAAAAAATATCCTAGATCCACTTCTCCAGAAGAGATTTGAGTGATCCTGGCACCTTTTTACTGACTGAGCACCCACGGACAGGACATATCCTTGCAGTATATCCTGGCTTCCAATGTGCCTCAAAAACCTATGACACCAGCCACAGTTTCCAATATCAAGGAAGATCTCTCCAGGTCTCCCCTCCTCTCTAGGGCCAGCATATTGAAGTTCGGTGGACTCTCAGCTACTATCTCCTCTCTCTGCTACCAGATAATCTACAAGCACTGTGGTGTAATTCACACTTGCAGATATTGGCTTGGAGCCACCCTGCAATAGCAGTTGACTGGAGAAGGGAAAAAATAATTAAAAAACCAAAACAAAACAACAAAAAAACAAACAATCAAGCTGTAATGTTTAAAATAATTCACTCTTGCTGTTGCACTTATGTGATTTGATTTTGTAGGCTTCTTCTGAGAAACAAGGATGCCAAACTGGGGAGGTGGAGCCAAATGTGGTGCCTGTGATAAGACCGTGTACCACGCTGAGGAGATCCAGTGCAATGGAAGGAGTTTTCACAAGACATGCTTCCTCTGCAGTAAGCTGAGCTACACTGGTTTCACTTCACAGCATTCCCATAGCTCTGTATTAATCTTCCAGTAAAGCTAGTAAATTTACTTTTGTATTACTTTGCATGCAATAAAGAAGCTTCTTAGCCTCCCCAGTTCAACATGTTTGCTCACAGGGCACTTACAGCATTTAAACACTTTCAAACATCTTGTTTAAACACCTTTAATCATATTTTTTAAACACCTTTAAACATGTACCGAGGATGGTAGAAGCAACCAGCATCAAACTGAAGTTTTGTAAAGCCTGTGCATCTTTCTTTTGGGAAAGCTGGAGGTGAAGGGCAGTTACATGTTAATCATCCCACCTGAAGTACAGCCCAGTGAGACTGATTCTGGTCTGGCACCCTCTAGAAACCTACAGATAAAACTTGTTTTCCATCCTTTTAGTAACAGAAGGATGGAAAATGACCAGATAAGGCAGCAGCCACCTTCCTGAAATGCCAGTTGGCCACTCCACAGCAGCTTTTAATAACCAAGCCCAGTTTTCTAGCCCTTTACCCCTGCCTCTCAGGCTCTGGGCTTTTCTTTTTCCAAACATGCACTGGGTGACTATTGTTAGGGACAATGGTTCATCCCAAGAATCCCTACCTTCTGTCACATAGCATAGTATATTACAGGCTTCTTTCATGTTAAAAAGTCTAAGACTGAAGTATGTCTTACTAGGATATTACAGGAGATGGTTAGTTTTACAGTGAGTCCTAACATTAATTCATTTCACACAATAAAGCTTAAAAACATTAACCCCAGCATCATAAAAACATCTCCCACCAACACCCTTACAAGTATCTCAGTCTCCTCATTCCCCTTATCTCATTTCACTTACTCTTTCACTCCCCACACCTCTGTAAAGTCTGGCAGATGGCTTCTAGGAATTTTGCTTTCTCTGCAGATGAGCCAGCACTTGAAAAAATTAGTGAGAAGGTAACAGTTCAGCTCTTTCTGCCATTTGTGGAGAGACTAAACAATTTGACAAGAACCAAAGATAGCGAAATAGGGGTTTTTTTTCAGACAAAGCCTGAGATGTAGCATTTTTGCAGTATGAATTCCAGCAAGACAGCTTAGAAGCTATTGAATCCAATTTTTCACCCTCCTTTTGTGGATGGAGAGAGAATTCTCATCTGGAGGCATGAGAATGATACTCCATGGTTAGATGACAGGGTAGAGCACCATGCAGAATCAGTCCAAGGGACACACTGGAGTCTTTGCTGTTCTCCAAGTGCCCTGCAACTGATGTCTAAAAGACTGAGCAAGAAAGAATTCCCTCTAAAAGTTTTCAGCTAATACACCCCAGCCAGTTATTACAGAATGGTAAAAATCTCAGCTTTGTGAAAACCAGAGACTTCTTATTGACTCTGTGTGCTGCCTATAACAATTAATGCCAGGTATCAGAGAATGCTCAGGGAGGAGGCCATGAAGGTGCTAATTATGAGAAAGCCTTTAGACACTTGTGCTTTATCAAATGCTAGAAAATGATTTGGCAGAAGACAAATCAGTAGACTCTCTAGTGTCTAATAAAAATAAACAGGGCATAGCTAATAATATTTCTCTCCCACTTAATACTAGAACAATTCTAAGCTTAATTCTTAGTATAACTGATATTTGTATTTATTTTTTTTTTAGTCATTCATGATAAACAACATCAGCTCTGCCAACTGTTTGTTTAGTTTGCTGTGTTCTGATTTTTTTTGTTTGGCTTTGGCTAGCTGGCTGGGGCTTTGGGTTTTCTGTGGGGTTTTTTTTGTCAGTTTGTTTTTTTATTTGCTTCTTGTAGTCAGGGAAACATGGAATTGTCAGAGCTGGAAGGGATCTCTAGAGATCATCTAGTCCAACTCCCCCACTAAAGCAGGATCACCCAGAGCACATCACACAGGAACGTGTCCAGGCGTGTTCTGAAAGTGTCCAGAGAAGGGGACTCCACAACCTCCCTGGGCAGCCTGTCCCAGGGCTCTGTCACCCTTATAGTAGATTTTTTTTTTTTAATATTTCAGTGGAACTTCCCATGTCACAGCTTGTGCCCATTGCCCCTTGTCCTGTCACTGGGAACCACTGAAAAGAGTCTGGCTCCATCCCCCTTGCACCCACCCTTGAGATACTTCTAGGCACTGATGAGGTCTCCCTTTGGCCTTCTCTTCTCCAGGCTAAAGAATCCCAGCTCTCTCAGCCTTTAAGTTATAAGTCTGAAGTGAATTATTAATAGGTTAGATGCTAAAAAGAAGTATTTCCAGCAGAACTATGTGTAAGGTCAAAAATTAAAGGCACATCTAAGCTCAGCTGGCATATGAGAGGCATATTAATTGGCTTTACTTCTCCCATGATTCACACACTTATCAGGAGCTCTGGATGACTCAGCATCATGTACCATGTTCATGGGCTTTTCAATGAACTCAATACAGGATTTCATTTCTCCACAGAAGGAAAACAAGCCTTCCTGACCCAACCTCAGGCACAGAAACAGTTCACCTATTTGGCTGAGCTCTCGCCTTTTTATATTCAATATATTTAATACGTACTTTATATTTTAAATTCTATTTGACCAGACACACAAACCACACCAGTATTTTTCATCCAAAATAGTTCAATTTAGGCAAAATTACAAACAATATGAATGAACCTGTTAACACAGTGAGAAGCAGACAAGCTAAACTAAAAATCACATTCTTCCCCACTCTGTAGTTTTTCCCCTACAAATGTTATGAGAGAAACTTCTTCGAGGAGATCAAACCCTCCATCCCAAACAGATTGCTGTTTACCCACCTTGTTTCCCTGTCAGCTTTTCCTTAAGCTGCAGCTGTGATGGACACTTGGCAGGATCTCACACCACCAACCTGGAACTTCTCTGTGCCGGCTGGTGAACAGAAGCTGTTGGCAGATGACAGGTCTCAGAGTTATTTCAACAGTAGCACTTCAAGGGCTTTTGCTCCATCTGTTGTGGTGAATTGATACTCTATCCCTAAGGTGCCAGAAATAGACACACTTTATCTACTGCTAGAGTTTCCATCATCCCTTAGCTCCCTTAGCAAACGAAATTATAATCTCAAAGCAGAGGAGACTGTAGCACAAGGGGATCGGGTTCACACACTGACAGAATCCCCTGGTTTTATTTCTATTAACTTTAAAGGTCCTTGCAAAATATTTTCCCCTCTATGCAGTACAGTGACAGGATTACAGCTGCAGAGGTTCCAGGATCAGCTTAAATTCTGATGTGGATTCACACTCACAGCAGGACAGTGAAGATAAATATGGGGGGAAAAAGGACTAATCAAAGGCTCAGCTCACCTTGAGCTTGAACTTCCAACCACTTCCAATACTTTCCCAGGTTTCTGTTGCTTCCATAAGCTAAGCAACTTTATTTTCCAGGCTACCAACAGCCCATGCACAGCTGGAATCCCCTCTGGGCAGTATGCACTTGTTTAAGGGAAGGAGCAGAAAGTTTCCCCTACTTTTTGTTTCCCCTGGCAACTCCCATTGACACTGAACAATTTGCAAGAAGCGTTGAAATCTTAGGTTTTAAGCATACTACAAACCCCTGATTTTCTAACAGGCTCTCTGACCTGAAACCCTCTCTTGTTGGGGTGGGGGCTGTCTCATGCTGAGTTCCCAAGCAATGCAGCACACATAGTCACTGAGGAGATGAGTGCAGCTCCCCCATTCATTATTGTCCTGTTTCCATGCATAAGCAGCACGGAGATCCATGGGACCAGTAACAGAATTCAGTCTCTAGATGCTGACCAGGTTTCAGATGAGCAAAGAACTGGGAAAAGAGTGATCTGTCTTCTACAGCCACTCAATGAGAATTAACCCTGTGTGAGACTCCTGAACGCTAGGGGTGGCTTGTGTTTCCAAAAACAGGGATACTTGCTTACTGAGATCCCTAAGGAAGCAGCTGTTAGCACCCGTTGCCTTTTGGTCCTTCCAAGTAGAGGGTAGGGCTAAAGTGGTGCTGTACAGGATAGAACTTGTATTTTATATTCATGTCAAGCATTCCTGTGGCTCTGCCTGTCCAAAAGTCTCCCAGTCCTTTCCTGGTGAGCTGAGCCAAGCAGTGTTTCTCTAAATGAACACATTTAGGAAGAGATCTCTGCTTTTGGAGCAGCTCTAGTCATACTTTTGACATTCTGGAAGAAGCCTAACAGAGCTGAGACTGCCAGTTATTTGGGATCATTGCTTCACCTGGCACCACAGCTCCAAGAAATAAAAGAACCAAGTCCTGCTTGACTCTGTCTGGACACGGCACATACTTCACAGCCCCTTTTAGGAAAATGCCACATGAAAATAGCATGGGCTGAGATGAGGAAGCCAGCACAGACTCAGGGTGACTATTTTGGAAGGTGCAGGTGCATGGTAGAGTCAACAGCCCAGCAGCCTCCTTTTTTTTTTTTAATATTTGGGAGTGTGAGATGATGATCTGTAATTCATCTTAAGCTTCACATATCCAGACAAACTGTCTTGACAAGCCTGTGATTTTTCTAGCGTTAGAGTGTAACTCCAGAGAGAAAAGCAAGTTCAATGCATGCACACCTACTTGTGCAACAGGAACAGTAGTTCCTATATTTTTAGCTATATTTATATATTTTCTATATTTGACTTATATTTGATTTATATTTATTTCATTCCTATTTTATTTAGGTTTAAATTTTTATTTCTTTTTTTTTTTTTTTTTTTTTGCTATTCCTATATTTTTAAACAAATTTAAAACTAATTGCAATTCTCCTGAACCACATACATTGAATATTGGCAAGCACAGATGTTTCTCCATGCCTCTCTTTTCCTGTTCTCAGTGGCTTGCAGAAAAGGTCTGGACAGCACCACAGTAGCAGCTCACGAATCTGAAATCTACTGCAAAACCTGCTATGGGAGGAAATATGGTCCCAAGGGAATTGGCTTTGGGCAGGGGGCAGGATGTCTCAGCACGGATACTGGTGACCATCTGGGCTTGAATCTGCAACAGTGAGTTAAACCCCACTGACAGCACTTTCTCCTGGTGCTGCTTGTCACTTCGCTGGGTATCTTAGATATTTTATTCTGTTTCCATAACAACATCCAGTGTAAGTAGCAGAACAAACTCTCCTAGAACCTTTCCTTTAGTGGACAGAGTAATTCACCCATTTTTAGTGATGTTCAGCCTCTTTAAGCCTTCTTTATGAACTAGCTCCTCCTTAAGGGGGAATTATTCTCCAGAAGCAGCCTTTATGTGCCACCACAGATGTAAATATTCAATTTTCTATCAGTAGCACAGTGGTTAAGTCACATTCCTATTTTGGAAGGTGCAGGTGCATGGTAGAGTCAACAGCCCAGCAGCCTCCTTTTTTTTTTTAATATTTGGGAGTGTGAGATGATGATCTGTAATTCATCTTAAGCTTCACATATCCAGACAAACTGTCTTGACAAGCCTGTGATTTTTCTAGCGTTAGAGTGTAACTCCAGAGAAAAAAGCAAGTTCAATGCATGCACACCTACTTGTGCAACAGGAACAGTAGTTCCTATATTTTTAGCTATATTTATATATTTTCTATATTTGACTTATATTTGATTTATATTTATTTCATTCCTATTTTATTTAGGTTTAAATTTTTATTTCTTTTTTTTTTTTTTTTTTTTTTTTTTGCTATTCCTATATTTTTAAACAAATTTAAAACTAATTGCAATTCTCCTGAACCACATACATTGAATATTGGCAAGCACAGATGTTTCTCCATGCCTCTCTTTTCCTGTTCTCAGTGGCTTGCAGAAAAGGTCTGGACAGCACCACAGTAGCAGCTCACGAATCTGAAATCTACTGCAAAACCTGCTATGGGAGGAAATATGGTCCCAAGGGAATTGGCTTTGGGCAGGGGGCAGGATGTCTCAGCACGGATACTGGTGACCATCTGGGCTTGAATCTGCAACAGTGAGTTAAACCCCACTGACAGCACTTTCTCCTGGTGCTGCTTGTCACTTCGCTGGGTATCTTAGATATTTTATTCTGTTTCCATAACAACATCCAGTGTAAGTAGCAGAACAAACTCTCCTAGAACCTTTCCTTTAGTGGACAGAGTAATTCACCCATTTTTAGTGATGTTCAGCCTCTTTAAGCCTTCTTTATGAACTAGCTCCTCCTTAAGGGGGAATTATTCTCCAGAAGCAGCCTTTATGTGCCACCACAGATGTAAATATTCAATTTTCTATCAGTAGCACAGTGGTTAAGTCACATTCACCACAGAAAATGAACATTTAATTTTTTTCCTATCAGAGGCTAAAATACAGTGTGAAGTTTTACTGTGAGAGAAAAAAAAAAAAATCACACTGCCACACACTGTTAACTCTCAACGGGGGAAATAACATTTCTAAATCCTCCCTGTGGCTCTAGGAACACTCACAAACACACCGAGAACATGTTTGAACAAAGGAATTCTAATGAGAAACCACCTTCCAAAAGCCTCAGCTGCACATAATTATCTCTGACAGTTCATTTTTACAGTATTTTTCTACAATTCTCAAAGCTCCATATTTCCAAATAAAAAAAAAATTGCTTTCTTCTGGTTTTGCTGTAAGGAAACCAATTAAACAATATGCTGTGCAGGAAATAAATGCTTAAATCATGTATTTAACTGTAGCTCCTCATAAGATATGAATCCATTATGGGCAGAGTTCTGTATCAAAAACTGCCACATCCTGCAGATTTAATGACCTGTTGCAGGCCCACAATCCCATAACTCAGAACTCATTTTGTGAAAGGCTTTCAGCTGGCACAAAGACATAAAAAAGCAAAAAGTTCAGAAATACAAAGCAAGGCTACTTTTCTGATGTGCTTTTGACCCCAGGACAGAACTCCAGTGGCCTGTCCAAATGTTACAGTGACTAATGAAACTGCATGCAAAATCTAAAGGTTTTTCCACTCACTACTGGCTACCAGCAGACAGCCAGTTACAAAGAATAGTGAGGTCTTTGGCTGGTATCTTCCCTCTTGCGTCTGGATAAAACAAAATCCTTTTTTACTTCCACTTTTAGTTGAATATAATGTTTTCTGCATGTGGCTGCTGTCAGCTCTATGCACTCAGCCCAGAACAGGTTAATATTAGCAGTTATAGTATCAGCTTTTCAATCACACAACACAGAATTCAACAGAAGACTTGAATTTTCTCTTCCCCCACCCCCCTTTTAGCATATCTAAGACCAGTAATTTCTTATTCTTCATCCCTTATCAAAAAACAGTGAAATAATATTTCTAGGATGAAGGTAACATTTTAAGCAGCCTTTTTAAAACACTGAAAACTTCTGTTTTAGGGGCTCACCAAAGTCTGCTCGGGCTTCTACAACAACTAATCCTTCCAAGTTTGCCAAAATGATGGTAGATGTCGACAAATGTCCCCGCTGTGGCAAATCTGTGTATGCTGCAGAGAAGATCATGGGAGGAGGAAAAGTAAGTAGTTACTGCAGCACTAGAAACAAAGCACACTCTTGTAATGGTGATCAAAGTATTGCTACCATGTCCTTGATCTTTTAAATTTTTACATATGGTCTCTACAAAGAAAATTCGAGGATAAATTAGCAAATTGCTGCAGAGTCCAATGTCCTTCTAAGTTTAAAACCATGTGTTTTTTGTAAGCCACCTTTAATTTTTTTGCATCTTGTTGATGTCTGAAGAACAACTCGTGGCTACTGTACAGGCTGCTTCCTCTACCACTGTCATTTTACTGCCATCTCTGGGCTTATTTATAATTTAAACATTTGTTTGCAGTGGCAACTGCAGATACATTAAAGAGATCCTGTGACTACAAAAAGGAAGGTCTGCCTCATATGACATGCTAGCTCTCTGCTCCAGGAACTCTCACTGGAATATTATCTCTGCACATCAAAGGAGTGGCCAAAACAAGAGCAGTATCTATAGCTCCCTGCTTTTTACTAGACATCCATTAACAACAAAGTCACTAGGGAAAATATTGATACAGACTAATATAATAATTGAAAAAAGACTAATCAAGAATGATTAAAAATTGAAGCCATGAGGCAAAAAAACCCCAATTTTTACCTTTTCACCCTGTAAAAATAGCAATAGTTCTTTGTTTCTTGTATCTGCTAGCCATGCACTTTCTATAATATACAATGAATCCTCTGAATTTCCTCAGCCTTGGCACAAGACCTGCTTCCGCTGTGCTATTTGTGGAAAGAGCTTAGAATCCACAAATGTTACAGACAAAGATGGAGAGCTCTACTGTAAAGGTAAGAACTGCAATGAACCTGAGTCAATCTGAAAGTTGTCTTTTTAGACCTCATATTGGCATCCTCACTTACCTTGTTGCATGCTTAACAGCTTCGTGAAAATTCATTTTATCTTCTTTTAACAGCTTTCTGAAAGCAAAGACCTCTGGTAACATTGCAGTTGCATCTTCTGCTACTAGCAATTACATTTTAAACTTGTCATTTTTCTCAACCTGGTCTACTGAGAGGTGTCCCTGCTCATAGCAGGGAGGTTGGAACCTGACTATCTTTAAGGTCCCTTCCAACCTTAATCATTCTATGAGTCTATGATAAGTCTATGATACCCCCTCAGGTCTGTCCTCTGACCTTCTAACAGGAACACTGGCCATATCTGTTGGGCAGATTCATGTATCTGCATAATCTCCTTCACTCAAAAAAACCCCACTAAGATACAGATCTTCAAAGGTCATATATTTACAGTCATGATCCTACTGGACTTCTTCCCAGTCAGAGTTAAAAGATACTTCCACTATATTGGAAGATACACAGAAAATAACACATTCATGCTAAATTATACATCTAGATGTTCTTCTCAGATCAAGAAAATTCACCAGCTTCACTGGACTTTCAGTAATAGCATAAGGGGCAAAATATGCAAAGGTTTTAAATCCTGGGCTAAAGTTTATAGAGAATCCTGAAGAATATTTCAGTTCTGTTACTTTGGGTGCAGTCTGACAACTGTAAGTGATCAAATGAGTGTATCTGGAGAAAAGCACTGACCTCTGTATAAAAACATTCAGAATTCCACTTACCTCTCTCCTTCTTTTCCAGTTTGCTATGCAAAAAATTTTGGCCCCAAAGGAATTGGGTTTGGTGGCCTCACTCAAGCAGAAAAGAAAGAAGAGTGTGAATGAGAAGAAATGGATGCAACAGACTCAAACTGCTGGTGATGCCACCAAGTGACAATTGTCAAGTAAAGCACCAAACATCACAGTATTGCTACAACCTTAGGACATTTGTTTAGTATTTTCCACCTTGCAGGAAAAACTTGTGAGCTTTTATCTTAAGATATTCTTAGAATCGCTTAAAAAGGCACAGTGATAAAACTAGATTTGTATTTGCTTTACAGTAAGTAAAGACAAAAAACCCTCATGGAACGTTACTGCTTCTTAAACTAGTATTTACCATAGTTTAGACTGGACTTGTGAAGACTCAGCATTCTGTCCTGTTAAGTCAGGGACACCTTCTGGAGCACGAGGGTCAGGGTGTTCCAATCCAGGCTGTACTTCCCTTTGCTCAGGATGTCGTACTGCCTGTATCCCTAAAATCTCCCAGTGGCATCTTGTGTGACAACAGAGTAGATGTTATTCACTTTGAGAGAATTAAAAAGGGTTTGAAATTCTCTCTCAAGGGGAGAAACTTCTGAAGGAAAAACATTTTATTAGGAGACAGTGTTATAAGTTTTGTAATTGTATGTCTTCAAGCTACAATAAAGTACTGATATTGCTTCACATTACTTTCACTTGGATTTGTTCGTGCTTCATGTTCTACAACATCACAGATAAATGCATTTCCCTGACACGTATGAAAACCCCCATTTCTTAATTACAAAAAATCTGTTGCATTAAACTACTTTACTCTCATGTTGTTCGTTTTAGAAGGTATTCAACTTGAATTTTCTGATCCTGATCTGTTTCTCTGCTGGTTTTGATCATTATCTACTTTGACTTACATTCAAAACTACACTGCCCAGTTGGCCAGCACAGACCAATCTTGTAGCCATTTCCTGGAAACACGTTTTACAGTTGGGAAATAATTCCCTCTTTTTATATACATTGCTATTCTCCCTCATCAACTTACCCATTTTCATAAAGTAACAGGGTAGGCAAAACATGTAAAATATAAGGCAGAGTCAAGCCTTTCCTTATGATTTTGTGCTTACCTGTTCTTAAGTATCTCACTGGTCATAAAACTCCCCTCAGAGTCTGTAAAAATACACTTGGAAGCATGAAAACTGTTTGATTACATGTAAACCTTCCAAATACAAAGACTTCATAGCAGTTTTCATAACAGAAGTAATAAAATTACAAGGCAATTGTAACATGAAATTTTAAAATATGAACATTACACTTAATTTTCAAATGTAATTTTATTATCTGCAAAATAAAGCAGAGTGTACCAACATGGCTTTGAAATTCTGCCCTAGAAAATTACCTTTAAAAATATATTCTTAATCTCATCACATAGATTTGCAGTTTCAGCCCCAACAATATATACATACAGTGATTGTTCCATATATAAACCTGCTGTACTTATGGCAAGATAGGTTTAATATTTGAAACAGTAATTAAAAAAAACCAACATGCAACTTCAGAAGAATTTGTAAAAATTAACAAAATATCCACTTTTATTTAACTTTCAAAGTCAACAGCTTTAGAAATCAAAGCTTCATACAGAATGAACATTTTTCTCCTTTGCCAGATGAAAAAGGTTGTATTGCCTGGTCCAGTCAACTACATTGGGTTTGACCATACCAAAGCAACTGCACTGAAAAAAGTCTGCAAGATTCTGGAAGCATCCAAGACTGAAAAAGAGAGGAATACCCATTAATAAACCTAGCAAAATAAGAATACAGAGTTCAGGCAAGATTACAGGAACGCAAAAAACACATACACCACAAGACAGTACTTAAGATAGAAAGCTATATCAATAGCCATGTCAATAAAGACAGATCTGAGAGAAGAAATACAAGCAAAGTTCTCCTATGAGCATTATTCCTTTGCTGAACTTTTACAACCTGTGTTATATTTAACAAATTACAGTAACCCAAAAAACACACCACAAGACAGTACTTAAGATACAAAGCTGTATCAATAGCCATGTCAATAAAGACAGATCTGAGAGAAGAAATACAAGCAAAGTTCTCCTATGACCATTATTCCTTTGCTGAACTTTTACAGCCTGTGTTATATTTAACAGTGACAGCAGATTAAGTTCAACTCAAATACCTTCAGCTTAGTACTTGGTAAGATCTCATCTGTTAACACACTGAGGAAACATGGATCTCTGGTACTAACAGGGAAATCCTGGTACTAATTTCTCAAGTGAGCTAAATGTTGAAAGAGAAGCCAGAAAGGGGCCAGTTCTTCCCTTAATTCTCTTTCTGAACCTACAGAACAGAGACTGATCAACAAATTAAAGGACAACATCCCTCAACCCCAAAATAGCATTTGCTGAAGCTGTGGACTGATTTTGGCACATCTTTTCCCTATACACACAGATATGTGGAAGGAATTCCACTAGCTCTTATGGTCACAGGCTTATTAGCTTTATTTCCTATGGCAAAGGAAGTTCTCAGTAAGGAAAATGAGGTTCATTTCCTCTTAGCACAGCTCCTAACAGGCATGTCTAGCATGTCCACCAATCAACTTTTTTTGCATTTATGAAGTAGTGAAGCATATAGTAATGAAAAGATACGTGCTTAAAACACACCATTAATTAATACTCACTTATATGGAGTTCTCCTGAGTGAAACAGGATGCTTAGAAGATTTATTCTGCATCAGGATGTTCATTCTCTCATGCCAGGTCAATCCCAAGAATGCAATCTTCCAGCAAGGAAAACATAAGTAATGGTTAAAACATCAACATTACAAATTAAAATTCTGGTGATACCAAAATAAGCTATTGAGAAGGGAGGGAAGGAAGAAATTGGCCAGATCTAACAAATAATACTGCCATAATTAATGACACCGAAACTATTGAGAAGGGAGGGAAGAAATTGGCCATATTTAACAAATAATACTGCCATAATTAATGACACCCAGACTAAAACAAAACACAGCAAACTGTAACACCAGGCTCCCACAGAGAAGGCAAGGTTAATTGGAATGACTGTAGAACTGTACCTGCACAGCTGTCTGTCCAAGTTTAAGATCTATGGCAGTCAAGCACCTGTCTCCTCAGATTTTGTCTACCCCAAATAAGACAATGCAGCTCAGCAAAGAAGATGAAGTAGATGTCAAAGATTCAACAATAACTTTCTCATCCTCTCGATCTGGTGTTTTCTTTCATCAAGTTTCACTCTGAGATGTATGGGGGTTTTTTCTGTATTTTTACTGATCTATATCACTTTTTCCTTTATTTTTTGAAAAGTCAACATCAATCTTTTAAGCCCTTATAACCAGCTGCAAGGTTGCTTTGCTGGGTGACATGCTCCATGTCCTAAAGCAGTACATTCACAATGACTGTGTATGAAACACAGTAGTTAACTGTAAATATCCTACCTAGACCCCTTTTCTTACCCAGGATGATATCTCAGTGTCTTGGACATTACAGAAATCTAGCAGCACACATTTAAAATTGTGGAATTTTTATTTATTTAAAAAAACACCAAACATCAAGATGTAAACCAAATCTTTAGCTCAGTATGCTTAACATATTCAAGTGACATGTCTTTCTAAAAGCTGCTAAACAAGCTGTTTCTTAGATGTTTTAAGACAGCTCTTCTTAATCTTGTTTGCAGAGCCAAATGCTCTGAGAAAAACCATAAAGCAAAAATTGGACAGTCCTCATCAGGACAAAATTCAGGCCATGCATTTTTATTGTAGCAGTGGGATTTAATACTGTCTAATGATGCACTGGTGAGCTCTGCAAGATAATTTTCAACTTAGGGCTAGTTGTGTTACAGTTTTTGTACCATTTTTGGGGTAGTAATATCATTTATATTAATCAACTAAATTTCTTGCCTCTAAATCCATCTTTAGAATTTTTTTATGAGTAGGAAATCCAGAACTCTGTTATAAGAATGATTTGCAGATCATGATCCTACAAGGACCCCTGAAACTTAAAGTACTGCCCTGAGATTTAAGAAAAGCACCTAGATATGACATTGATTAGCCAAAGAAAGCAGACAAAGTTTTTGTGGGAGCAAATAATTCAGGGAAATGTTTTAATACAATGACTCCTTAAGAGAAGAGCATAAACTGAAGCAAAATACTACCTGATAGAGCTGAACAGTTAGCCACAATGAGGTCCACACAGCATGAAAACTGGCTACTGAGAAGATGTAGAAGACCCAGGGAGAGCAGTATATTATCTGTGTCAAGTATGTCCATGCTCCTTCTTGGTGATAACTTGTTGCACAGTTGTTTGACCAATCTAACATGAGGCAAGATCAGTTAATTAGGTTTTTAATATAGGCCACTTCAGAACTGAACAAAGATCATTGCACAGAATGAAAATTACATAGCAACGTGCCCTAGAAGTATTATGTTTGATATGTCACATTCCCACTTAAAAGCACCCACAGAGATATGTGACTTCTTGCTGTTCTGGCTGCATAATCCTTCTGCATTCACAATCCACAGCAGCAACATTCAAGGCACTGGGCAGGTACTTCTTTAAAGTCAACTAGTGCCAATGAAATAAGTCATCTTCTCTTACTGTCAAGACTTCTCAAATTTTGCTCTGTGCTTATTTGTAATTTTAGGACAAGAATTCATCACTTCTCTTAAACATCTTCATCAACAAAAGAAGACACCATGGTGACAATGCCAGGAATTTTGGCACTATTAGATGCAAACTGGAATGTTCAACTTCTGTAGATTTCTTAAGAGACAGATACTTAAAGCCTACCCCATATGCATTTACCCTATAAAAAACCCAGAAAAACTAAAAGCAAAGCAACTTTTCTTTTGCCTCAATGTCAGTAGAACAATAAAGAGGTTTTTCCCCTCACATTCCTTCACACACAGGAAATGGAGAAAATATATTTTTGTATACACAAGACCACCACTGAAACACAGGAAAGCAACTCATATTCACCTGAGTGTCCTGTGTCCTACACTGCCACAGCCTGTTCACTTCACTCTATGTTGAAGACTGATTGATTTCAATATAATGCAAAGTAATAGAAAAGAAAATGAACTCCCTCTATTTTTCATTTGAAAGGTTAGTGCTTTGTTAATTCAGCCTCAGGACCTGATTATCAGGGTTTTTCTCTTTCCTCCAAGAAATTTCTAAGATTTCAAAAGCAACAGTTTGGATTTATCAATGATAGACAGTCCTCTTTTCAAATCATCATTACATTAAAAAAAAAAAAGTTTGGCAAGCATCCAATATAGATATTTCCAAATAACAAAATCAATAAAGCATTTGCAATAATGTATTTACAAACTTGCTTTCTATTGCAGCAAGGGGTATCCAGACTAGAACCTGACCTTCCCCCCACATGGTTTCCCTTTTCTACCTCTAATAAAAATGCTTTCTCATATTTTATTTTCCAATGGACCCCCCACTAGAGTTGTATCTTAGTTTCAACTCAAATGTAATCAGATATTTGACCAAAGACTCATATATGATACATTTTTACTTAAAGACAGAACTACAAGATAACATCATTGCTAAAATACAGCATAATTTGCACACATATAATTACACTTGCTGGAAATGAAATAAAGACCAAACTCGTGCATCTTTGAAAGCTAAATTAAAACAAAGTAATGGATACATACACAGAACAGTTCCATAAAGCAGCCAGCCACTGGTCATAGACAGGAAAGAAAGGAATAATAGGTAGTAACGATGGTTCCCAAGGCCTGTAAAAAACCAGACATTTGAAATCCAAGCACTATTTGCATTCCCTTGTAAATTCTCAGGAAGGAAAAGAATCAAAACAAGTTATTACTTCTGTTGTCCTCAAAGGAGTTTTACAAGGCTGCTTTTTTTTCTCAACTTTCTCCTATAAGCCACTCCACTTTATGGAGTAGAATTAGTTCTGATCAAGTCAACCAGGATTTGTCTCTTCTTCAGAGCATGATTCAGCTTCTCCAGCTAAAGGACAATGTTATGCCACCACAGCTCTCCCTATGCACACAGCTGTCTCATATGATTGAAAAATACTAGCTATTCCATTTCATTGCATGAGCTTTGTACACTTCAGAATTGCAAATATATCCATAAGCCCCCCCAGGTTTCTGTCAGATAAACTTATATGAAGATATACAACTATTTTTTCTCTGAATTGCAATCAGCATTGCTTGAAGCTTTGAAACAATCCACCAGAAGGATACCTCACCAGCTGGTAAACAGCAAACACTGTAAAAACATTCCCAAGTACTTAACATTACAAAAAAATTATTTGTAAAATAATACGCTAAAAAATGTATTTCTATTGATGTAAAGCTCTAACCTTTCTATCTAGCATCAACAGTAATGAGACAGAAAGGAAGAGGGAGTTTCTCAAAGAATACCAGAACATAAAAATGCCCTAGGGGATTATGCTGCTCTAACAAGGACAACAGGAAACACGAGCTCAGGAGGACAAAGCAGTCTGGGTGCTTTCTCCAGTTCCTTCTCCTCATCCCCAGCTACTGCATTAAAATGTCAGAGTGTGCCTACTTGTCTCGTTCTTTTAGTATTTACTTCTGGGCACATTGTCCAAAAGTTTGTCTAATGCCTTTCTGAACCTTCTGGTACTGTCTGTATCTGGAAACCCTTACAGAAGCAAGCTCCAAAATTTCACTGCCTGCTATGTAAAGACATATTTTCTTTACCAATTTTAAATCCAAATGCTGTTCTCACTGAGCCTCCCTTAGTTCTATTATGATGTGCTTGACAAGTAACAGTTTAACAGTTCTGCATGCACTTTGACAATCATCTTAATTCCTTTTTTTTTTCCCTTTTAAAGTCTCAGTCATATCTCACTCTCTCTCTCTACAGAAGGAGTTTCAGGCTTTCTGTCTCTACTTTTAGGGCAACAGCTCCATCCCTTTTATCTTTGTAGAGGCCTTTCTCTCTGCCATTTAACTCATTTCCCTGTCACCTAACAGTAATCCCCTCAGTATCACCTGGGCATTCTTGTACCAGCTGTGCTTTTGAAGGAGACAAACGTTATTTCTGCAGCTTTTGAAACAAGTGGTATTTTCAAATTTGATAAAACAAACACTCTCACCTACACACCGTCCAGTCCACAGAGAATGCTGGTCATACCTGGCCACACATGAATCACAAGCAAGGCAGTGCATGGATCTCAGAGGCTTCCTTACCTAGGGGAGGATGAAGGAAAACAATAGTCAGAGCAAAAGCATCTATTCTGCTCAAAGTTTAGAGCACCAACTACTGTCTAACAGACCCCACAACACAGGACATAGATGAGAACTATATAATTTAATTCTACAAAAAAAAGTGATTGAAACACCAACCACCACCACCAACCACCACAACAATGCTTTTTTATTAATATTGCACTCCAAGGATCTCAGAGGATCTCTTTTGTCACCATAAAACAGACAAACAAAAAAGAAATCTAAGTAACATAGACCAGACTGTGCAAATCACACCTGCATGATAAGAAATGAGAGAAGTTTTTACAGCAGTATTGACTAAAGAAAACTAAAAGGTTAGAAAACAAATACCAAAGCTTCACTTACAAGACACGAGGTGCAGAATGTTCTGAAGTCCAAGCAACCTGCTTCTGCAAGAGCCACAATGTTCTGAAAGACAAAGAAGTTCATGCTGGCATTTGGATCACATTTTCAAGGTGTGTGAAGATTTTCACATTAGGCTTTTTGCAGTTCATAAGCATTTTGGCTGCCAAGCACCAACAGGAATAAGCACTGGGAATTTAAAAAGGTCCAGGAGAAGCATAACAGATTAATGCAACTTCAGTGATGCAGGATTATTCAGAAAAGTATCTCTATGTTGCCAAAATTAATAATGTGAATTAAATGTTCTTAAAAATGAGATAAAGGTACCTCTCCTATAGTCAGTCAGAGAGATGAGATCTGCCTTATTTACTGTTCCTCTATGAGTACTAGATAGACAATGTTTACTAGTTCATTTACTTGCAGTTTATTCTCCCTGGCAATCTGAAGAAATAGAACCTCATGGAGAGCAAAGAGGTGATTAAAAAAATGCTCTCCTTAATCCACAGGCTAGGGAGACCAAATATTGAATTCTCTACTCATTGATTTGCAATTATTTTTTTTTGCCATTCTAAGGCAGAGCTAGGAAACAGCCTGTGATTTACATGACCCTTAAGCACAAAAACCAAAATAAATTATCTATGATCTATGTTGTTCAATGACAAAGAAAAAAACTTAAAAAAAAAGGGTTTCACTGCTTTCAAAATTAGCAAAGCTGCACATAATGACAAACAAATCAACCACTTCTGTGCTGCACCAGGTTAGCCCTTCCATTTGTTTCACCTACCTCTTTTCTTTCTTCTTCTGAAGTCCTGATATACCCAGGATCAGTTCTCCAAGTTTTATAGAAATAGTAAAGAAGACCCATCACGCTGATCATGACAGTGATTTCAATAATTGTATTGGCTACATGTAATGCTCAGGTTAAGGAATATATTCTTATATATACGCTCATATCACTGTTATTTGTCAGAGAAAATATTCCAAAATTATTTATGTTATTTTACAAGCAACATACAAAAAGGAAGAGACTTTCACTTCTACAGTAGGATCTCCTCTGTCCTTCAGAGGCCACCAGATCAGAGAAGTTGAACATTCTGTGCAGTTTGAGCACTGATGTCTTAAAATACAGCTCCCTCTCAGCTTCATTATCAGACTGCAGACCTTTTGCCTTTGAATATTTAACAGATATAAAATAAACACAACTTCCTTTCCCCCTTCTGAAGTTTTTTGGGTTTATTTAAATTATACCAATCAGACACCCATAGTTACCAAGCTTCCAGCAGCTCTGAGATTTGTTCGCTGCACACACCCCTAAGTCATCAAACAGGCTCTTACTCAAACTACTTTCTGTCTTGTCCTCACTTGTTTCAGCTAAGACAATTGAATAGCTTTCGATGGAAAAATGCAACTCAGTCATTCTTGAACAAGCTTTGTCACTCAAAAAAGTAAAGCACACACTGCTAAACACTTCTGAAGGTACTAGGAACCCTTCTTCACTCACAAGTATATTAGAAAAAACATGACAATTAAATGACAGATTCCTGGTCTAATCTGAGTTCTTTTTTTCTTGCCCCTTTGCTTTTACCCAGCGACTGACTGTTTTAATGACTGTATGTGGAGAGAATTAATCTCTCATGAATATTGATACTCCAGTAATTTAAGAAATACTTCAGAACTGTACACAAGCACCTGCTAATGATAAAAGAAGGTACAGATCTTCAGTTCATGTTTAACTTGAATTTAAAATTATTTCACCTCTTCCCAATGCAAATAAACCAACTTACCAGACATGAACAGTCGTGTAGAATGATCTGGGACTGCTCATTGCTATTTGCATGACCAGACTGGGATTTATTAGGAACAGTAAGGAGAGTTCTAATGCATTTCTTGAATATAAAGGATATAAGGCAGGAACCAGAAAAACCAGGTCACAAACATCCAAAAAACTGAACTTAGCAGAAATGCTGTGGGAAGATACCTTAGATTCTTGTGCCCTATAAATTGTCTGAAAGAATATTAAAGGAAAAAAACAGTATTTATAAAAAATGCTTTTAAAACGTAACTCCATAGAGTATAAATTATCTGGTTTGTTATTTTAAAAACTTCACAGGCACAGTATAATTCAAGTCCCTCTTCAAGCAAACAAGAATTGTCACTCAAAAGCATTTTTTAGCCAGATGTGTAGAGGGTTAACAAGGCATAATTAACACTGAAGAGTGCTTTGTTCCAGCCTAATATGATACATCAGAAATGCTGATCTCTGCACACTGACAGCACTGCCATCTCAATGAACACGGAACGTGGCAGCAACTGCTGAAGAAAGCAGGAAACTGCCAAGCAGCTTAGGATAACACTGGGAGGTCTGGGCAGCAGAGGGGGAGGGAACAGTTCATTAAAACACATTCTGTGTCACAAACACAGAAAGAAAAGTTGAGATAAAGCACATTTCTGAGCACTGTGAACAGATATCTCAGTGTCTACCAGGTGCAGACCTTCAATGACACTCTATCATTAAAATTAGCTAACAGACTGCTTAAACACTTCAGTGTTTTTTTTCAGTTATTTTGGTGATAAGAAACTATTTGATTTCTATGGTCTTTCTAAACAGTAAATATATTTAAATCTCTCATACACTCTGCAACCATTTCACAGGAGGTATTGTCTACGTTAAGTAAAACTAGGCTCTGAAAAGAATACTGCATTAGATATGGCATCTATGACAAATATATAAAGATTAAAAACCACAAACCTCACAAACAGAGTCATCACAAAGAGCAGGATGAGAAGCAGACCTCCTTTCAAAAGCCAAGAATCAGAACTTGAGTTCATTATGTATCCTATGGCCCACATGAACGTCAAGGAAGATGCCAACAGCAGGAAGAGCTATTAAAATTATTATTGATGATGACAAAGTATTCGGTATTCAGATAATGTAGTAGCCAATGCTGAAAGACTCAAGGTAGGTAAGACAAAGTGACACAGGGGAGGGGAACAAGGCCACATGAGACCCCCACCCAAACCACTGCCACATGCTTTTAAAGAATTTTACTCTTGTGCACCCAATTTCAGAAACCTTAGAAGATGTTAAAATAATTTGCAACTTAACTCTTTTCAAAACAGAATGCTGCAGCTTTTTTTCCCATTAGTTATTACTTGTGAAATTACCTCATATTTCTCTACTATCTTCAGTAACCTGCTATTTCTTCTGCTCCTTATCCTTTCTTCCTCTTTCACCATGTAAAGCATGAAGCCATTCTGACTCTGACAGGCAAGGTCACGTGGTGTCTCTCCCTTTAATAACAGAAATGTTTCTTTCTTTATGTACTCCACACATAAATGCTTTCCTTTTCAACTAAAGCAAGAAGTAATTATAGCTAAAATAAAAATCTCTTGGCAGTTACTTCCTCTTTTTTAAAGCAAAAGTAAGCTAAATTCAGAGCTTTCACATGCTTAATTCAGTGCTTTGTACTTCTGTAAACTGATACTTGCAACCAGATTGCATCCATCTGAGTTATCTGCTGGGCTGCCTCCAATAACCTGAAATACTAAACTGTCTGCTAGAATGTTACAGGCTTACTGAAAGGGAAGGTTTCTTGCTTACGTTAACTATTTAAACCAGCAATAACCTAAGAGTCATACAAACAAATAGAAAGAAGTGGCAGATGGAAAAATCTGCACAGCTTCATACAGAAATGCTGAATACCTACGTGGTACATACCTATCCATCTAGTTATAATAATGTTGAAACCATTGATTCTTACAACATATTATCAGTTTTTGCAAATATTAGGCTGAAGACTTTAGTAAATGACTAGCCCTTTTGAATGTACAAAGGTATAACCGAACACTGGTTTTCACAAGATGACACACACATCTTTTAAAACAAGTCTCACTGGACACTGAGACATTTATTTTTTAAAGTCTGGCCAGAGTCATTACTCTTTATGGCAACGATTTGAACAGCCAACTGAAAAAAAAAAGAAAAGAAAAAGAAACCAGGGAGGATCTGCAAAGGACACAGTTATGCTTAGTGACTGAAAGGCTTGGCTGTTCATTAAATGAATATTGTAAAGCCTCTCTTTGTGCAACACCACCAAAAAGCTGCTAACTCCTTTGGGGAAAGGCTAAGAACACCTGCTTTTACTCAACCCCTATTCCAAAGGATACCCAAAGGGGAGAGGACTCAGATTTCTCTTTACATTCATTTCACACATTCATGTCACACAGAGTGAAGGTTCATGAAAGAAATTGTACCTTGACATTTTTTATGTCCAGGCTAGCTCCAGCTTCCAGCAACAGATCCACTGCACCAGTGTTTCCTGAGGCTATTGCCCAGTGCAGGGCAGTGTTCTTTTGAACACTGTCTACAGCATTGAGACAGGGGTTAAACTTTAAGAGAAACCTTGTGGGTTCTGGTCTAGAAAATAAAGTGTAAAAGTTAACAAATGGAATAGGATGTAGAGTGGAGATGAAATTTTTAACACCTTCTGAAAATCACTGTTCCCATCTGAGAAATACCAGCAGATACACCACGTCTTGTCTCAGAACACTCATCAACGATAGATCCAAGTTTATAATTCAGGACCTGCCCTCAATTCTTTTTCTCCAGACTATGTTATTTCACCATTTTAACAAATATCAGCTATATACACAGATTATAACCTTCTACCACACTGTGTATAAATTTACATGTCCACATTATTCTTATTCTAAATACTGTGTCTACCTCCATTTGTCTTCATTTCTGGAAAAGCACAACACTGCAACCAGTGCAGCCATAAACCTGAACTTCTTTTAGAAACTCTTTTTGCTTTCTTTGCTATATCCAATCAGGAACTTCATAAGTCCTCATCTCTGAAGCACTGCATATTTTAGTACAAGTAACATCAAAAGGGATGTCAGTTTAACAGGAAGTTTTCATATGAAAAAATTCTCTCACTGCTTCTGGGGTACAGTAAAATTGATTCTTTTTAAATGATTCATTACTTACCCAATAGCTTTTTGTGCTGACAACATTAAAGGTGTTTGCCCATTGAGGTCTGTTGTGTCTATGTTCTAAGAAAAAGGTAACAAGCAAGTGATTACCAATGATTTCAGGAAACAAAGAGATGGGCAGATTCAGAGGTATACAACAGGTTTAGCTTCAATGAAGGAGTGGAAAGAAATCACATGAAACCAGCTAGAAGCAAACACTCATTTAAACAATTTCTTTCCCCTCTCTGAGTCAGAACAGGCTGCCTCCACTAAGGATATTTTTAAGGGAACCATGCCAACCCAATTTTTTGTCCTTTTTTAATTTAGACAATCAATCCATTAAAGAGGATTGATTATATACCTCCATACATAATTGTTCAAACATCTAACTCGTGTTACCTAATTGCCTTCCTTCTCAGTGAACGTCTCCCTCCTCCCCACCTTCACCCATCATTACATTAAAGCAGGTTTAGTGAAAAGAAGTGTTTTATCACTGGGATTTTTTAGTAGATGATAGGTTGGCTACCTTAAGTTTGTGATATATACCATCCACACCTACATTCCAGAAGTCAGTTACTCTAGAGAGCTTTATGAGGAAGAAATTAACAGTCTAAATCTTAATACACGGGTTTTCAAAGCATCAGACTAGATCATGTAGGAATTCTCTTATTTTTATTAGCAAATTGTTACACTTGTCACTAGTTCTGCTTACTTCAGCTGTAAACTAAGCAGACATCACCTAGAGTTGATGAAATGTAAAAACTGAATACAGACATTTCTAATTAACAATTCAGACCCAGTCTGATCATCTATTCTGCATGCTTCAGATGATGGACAATTGCACAGGTTTTTACTTACAAACTTGTAATCAACCAGCATATACTGCTTTTTGTTACCAGGTTTAAAAGCCAGTTGTTATTTACACAGCACCACAAATCTAAACAGCCTTAACAACCCTTAAACACTCTAAACTGTGCAGGGATGACAAGAACAGGGGAGAGTATAAAAGATACACAAGTATATTTTTAAAAAATAAATTTCTCTGAACTTATGGCATGGGGAAAGAGCTGTTAAGCACCTACTTGTCATCTAGAAAGCACAAGGTAATTCTGCAATGTATCCTACACACAGGCACAAGCAGATAACAATACTTGGGACATCAACAGCATACCTGGCCTTTTGATAAGAGGTAAGCCACAATGGGCATGTGTTGGAACAGCACTGCTAGATGAATGCTACTGAATCCTTCCCCATCAATAAGACTGGGATCTGCTCCACATTTCAGCAACAACATCACCATGGCCAGGTGTCCTTGTCTGTAACAACGTATGAAATAAAACCATACAGATGACAAAAAAGCTGGAAATCTTAATGGAAGCATTTGCCTTAACGCTTCTCATTAATACTCTGCCTTCCTCCCCCATTTTTAAATTTCCTTTTAGATTCTTCTGGTTTTAATCAGGAAATTACTTTTTTTTAAAATTAAAAGTGTGCACCAGAAAATTATATTAAATATATACCTCAGTAAGTCAGTGTAAGGAAGACTGGTAATCTCAAATACAATTCTACACTGATTTTTCCTGTGAGCAGTCTTTCTCAAAAGAAGTATCTAACTTTGTTTAGCAGAAGACTAAGTTAGTTAACTTCAGTGCCCCAATACTATTTTTTGCCCAGTAAGGCAGAACTGGTGGGGCAAAGTCTGAACAGTTTCATCCCTAGGGAAAGTTCAGAACCTGAGTCCAAGTGGCTAAAACACAGGTACATGACACAACTTTGTGGTCTGCAAAGTTGCCAGGAATCAGAGACTAGATTTCAGTATTATTATAGACATGCTGTGAAATTCCTTCTACCTTATAAAGGAAAAAAAAAAATTCAACATACCACAGATTTGGATTTAAGGTGACCACTGCTGTGCTACACAAAATACTACTGTAACTATTAACAGATTTACAATTAGTAGTTGCAAGCAGCATTACCTAATGGCCCAGTGAAGGGGAGTTGAATTCAAATCTCCACCGAGCTGATCCACTACTGCACCTTTAGAAATATAATACCTGTGTAAAAGGAACTCAGTAAGATTAAGAACAGACACAATAAAATATTTAAACATTATACTAAGGATAAGATAGCTCTTGTAGTAAACAGCTCATACTGAAAAACAACATAAATCACTAAAGGAGCAAATGCACAAGAGCAGTTTTGCAGTAAAAATGCTGCTTTGAGAAAATGTTCAAGGAAAAAATATAATAATAAGCAAGGCACTAATAAAATAAGCTTTAATCTTTGTTAAACAAACCAAACCCACAGAAATAGAATCATTTAACATACTACACGATTTTACATGTAAAGAAACTGCAGTAACATTACATTTCAGTGACATTTTCACCAAGGTAATCGGGTTAAGATTTGAATTTTGTGCGTTTCTTCTCAAGCAACACATTCCTTCGTTTTGCAGTGTAACAACAACAAAGCGATTACAAGTAACAGTGGCAGAACTTTCACCAAGACTCTCCAGCTTACTTAACCAGCTCCTGTCTGTTGTTTATTGCTGCCCAGTGGAGAAGAGTCACATTTTCTTTGTCTGGTTGTCGGACATCAAATCCTGCTTCTACCAGTTCTTTGCATCGCTCTACTATCCCATACCTGCAGTGAGAAAAGAAACCCATATTAATTCACTTATCATTCATTTGTCAAGGACCCTCCAGTTCAGAGACAGCCAAACACTGAAGAAATCCTCAGCAAGCATCACCCAGCAGCTCCTACTTGAACAAACCCCACACTGCATTTAATGGAAGTCTTGCAAAGAGCTGGGCTGAGCCTTCATAAGTAGAACTTGCTGCCTAACAAACCTGGCTGAGATACCATTGTTTATGATAGAAGTATTTACAATGCTACCTTCTAAGTGATTGTTTTCTTTCACAAAGGGGAGACAACGGAGCTGCACGATTTCCCCTCATAAAGATACCCAGCCTGGCTCACGTCTGAGGACGCTCCCGTCGAGTCCAGCACTCTGCACACACAGGATATTTACTCACTGTGTAGCCTTGACAATATCACAGGTGCCAGGGTCCTCAACAACCGGGTAGGGTCCTGACAGCACCACTAGATCCTTATCCGCGTGGGCACCGGGGCCGTTGTGCATATGAGGTCGATGAAGGCCGTGGCAATGGTTTTTACACTGTTGGCAAGCAAGACGCCCATCAACAAACACTATTTATCCACTGCAAACCACACCTCCCTCTTCACCAGACACACGGGGTGTGCTCAGCTCTGTTACTAGAAACCAGAAGTTAATTCAAAGCACAGTTAAAACCACTTGACAAGAGACTAATCCCTTCGTCGGGCACTGGGGCACGGGAAGCTCTAAGGGGGATGTTTAAGGTCCATCAGGCTAAATCCCAGAGGCAGGAAACACCTTCAGAGCCAGCACCCGGCACAAGACCTTCACCCCAGCCCCGCCGCTGCGCTGGGAACGGCCACAACCCGTCTCCCTTCAGCAAAGAAACACGAGAAGAACCACCCGGCCTAGAAAACAACCACCTGCGGAGGTCCCAGCAAAGGTAACAAGGCCAGGCAGGACCAGGGGGGCCTCCATGTCCAGTCCCACCCGGCTGCGGGGAGGGCCCAGCGGCCTCCGGAGGCACCGACGCCCCAGGCC